AATTTAATTTTTGCGTGATATATGGAAGGGAAATCGTCACAAATATTAGCCAATGAAATCAAATGTCCATTATGCTGCACGAAGATCATTAATTTTATATATGAGTGACACTTGACCCCCTGTAAATCCGCAATGTCCTGCGACTGTTATATTTTATTTTTTTAGACAATTTTTTGGCTATGTCAAAAACATCATCCTTTTTAGGGATGGGGACAGTTTATGTCACGTCCGGCGACGAATAATATTTTATAATTGATCCGTGACGATTTATTACTAAATTATAAGTGACAATTAATTTGTCTTGTTTTGGCAATATAAATGTCACCTGTAATTTAGTAAATTAATCGTCACGGATCAATTATAAAAAAATTATTCGTCGTCGGACGTGACATAAACCGTCCCATCTCTAATCCTCTTATAACAATTTTAAAGATAGATGCTTTGGTCACAACTTAAACTTATTTACCATATCCATAGATGTAAATATGTAATGTATTTGTAAAGACATAATAGTAATGTATTCATAAAAATGTAAAAAATGTAATGTATTTGTAAAGATGTGAATACCTTCGTAATAATAAAACATAATGCATCCATAAAAATGTAATTCATCCATAAAGATGTAATTCATCCATATAAGACATGATTCCATAAAAACATAATCATAAATATGTAATGCATCCATTTATCTGTAAAGACATAATGCATAAGCTAAATCAATCTCACGTGATATTTGATAAAAGCTCATCATCACTACCTTTAGTAACGTTTAATTTAATTTTATCCAATAAAAATTTTTATTTGTCATATTTGTCATATTTGTAATATTTGTAATATTTATAATATTGTCATTAGATTATTTATAATAATATATATATGGGGCATGCTTAAGGTTGTGGGTATACATGAAGTCGAAATGAAACCATTTCGACTTTTTGGATAGTCGAAATGGTCAAAAATAGTTTCGACTTTTTGATAAAAATTTCAACAAAGTCAAAATGATTTTGGATGGTCAAAATGATTTTGGATGGTCAAAATTATTCTGGATGGTCAAAATTATTCTGGATGGTCAAAATTATTCTGGATGGTCAAAATACTTTTGGATGGTCAAAATACTTTTGGATGGTCAAAATACTTTTGGATGGTCAAAATACTTTT